GCGTAATTGAGGCGCTGATTCGGTCCGGTTCTGTGCAGTCCCCCGAGGCACGGGGCCCTGAGCTCTGTCGGGGTCTGGGTAGAACCTGGAGCGACAGGGACTCTGAACCATTAGTGCTGGAATACTTTTCAAAGGGGGTTGCTGAAAGCCTGCCCTGTTACCCCTGTCTGAGCCCCCCCCCCCCCCGCCAGTTGGGGCCGGCAGTAGTACTGTGCCTCTGGGAGGTGGGCACCCAGACAGCGGTAAGGGGGCAAAGGCTGGGGTGAACGAGCTCCGGAAGCCGGGCGGCGGGGGGGGTTGTCGGTTGCGGGGACCCAGGCAGGTCAGTGGCAGGAAAGCGAAGCAGGCAGCCGGCACCTGAGCCCCGGACTGCAACACCCCCTGCACCCCTAGTTCGCACGCCTGAACCCTAATCTCAGTCGGGGACTGTGCAGTGCCTGGCACAATTATTTACACCAGCTAAGAATCCGGTCAATAAACACGCTCAATATTTCCGTCACTTGGCAATGGAGGATGAAAGTTCAGCAGGTCAAAGAGCTGGTCTCAATGGAGGACAAACCCCCAGCTGGTGTCATTGGGCGTCTCTCCACTGTAGTCAATGGGACAAGGTCCCGACTGGTGTCAATGGGCTTCTCTCCATGGGCGTCCATGGGGCCAGATCCCCCACTGGGTTTCAAGGGGCTGAGGATCTGGCCCCGTTGATTGCAATGGAGAGACACCCATTGACTCCAGCTGGGGATCCAGCGACGGCGAAGAAGGAGCTGTACCCGCAGATCTGCCCGCGCAACGCTCTCCATCCCGAGTGGCCGGGAACGCAGGCTCCGTGCCCGAGGCTCGAACCCTCCCCTTGCTCTGTCTCCCCCAGGTGCGGGAGTACGAGGTGCCCAGTGAGCGAGCCCTGGGGCCGATCGTGCTGATCCGGCTCCACAAGGAGCCCTATTCCGTGTTCCCCGAGACCATGTGGTACTGCAATACGGTCCGGGTGACGTCCCCCGAGGGAGACATCTACCGCTTCCCCTGCTACCGGTGGATTCAGGGCTACTGAACCGTGGAGCTGGTGGAAAACACCCACTGCGGGTGCGCCTGGACTCCTGGGTTCCCTTTCTTCTTGCCACTCGTGCATCTCTGTGGCTGCTGGATTCCTACCAGGCCCTGGGGCTAGCCGTCCCCTCCAGGAGAAACCCACTGCCCAGGATATCTGAGGCCTGATGTACACTTAACTCACTTGGACGATGTTAAATCAAGTTTACTTACGTGGGTGTGGCCTAACTTTGCCTGTGGACACACTTCAACCGGCATCACCTGCCTTAGTCAATTGGGGTCAATTTACAGCTGTCTGCCACCGAACTGTGAGAGGGGTCAGCAACTGAGCAGAGGTAATTTATTTATTTTCATGAAAAGTGAGAAGAGAAGAAAAGTGCCATAGCGATTAGCTAGTTTGCTAGATGGGTGTGGGGCGGTGGATAGATAGATGGGTGTGTATGGGGAAAGAACATAAGAACGGCCAAAATTGGTCAGACCAAAGGTCCATCTAGCCCAGTCTTCCGACAGTGGCCAATGCCAGGTGCCCCAGAGGGAGTGAACAGAAAAGGTGACCATCAAGTGATCCGTCCCTTAGATAGATAAATAGAGGGGGTGGATGGGGATAGGTAGATGGAGGGGAGTGGATGGGGATGGATAGATAGATAGATGGGGTGGATGGGGATAGATAGATAGATAGAAGATAGATAGATAGATGGGGTGGATGGGGATAGATAGAAGATAGATAGAGATAGAAGATAGATAGATAGATAGATAGGGGATAAGGGAGAAGGCGGGTGTATGGGGTTAGACAGGAAGCTAGAAGGTTGGCAAGAGGGAGCCCTGTCAGGTCAGAGGGGTCTGGGCTACGTCCCACACTGCAGGGCGTGGTCAGATTTCATAGTCCCGCTCTCCTCTCTCCAGCCCAAATCCCTAGTGACGACTCCCACTACCTGCTCCAGAAGTACCGCCGTGAGGAGCTGATGCTGCAACAGGAAAGATATAGGTGAGTCAAAGGGAGAACATTAGGGGCAGTTCCCCTCCCCCTCCAGAGCAATGGGTTCAGGCTCCCCGCAAACTCAGGCAGTGTCACGGTATGGGTTACAGCTGGGTCATGGTTCAAAGCCTTTCTGTGCAGCCCCAGGGGCCAGAAACGAACGAACCTTTTTTTTAAAAAACCTTCAAGCTGAGCTTCTGTTGCAATCGCAGAAATCCAGGGGGCGGGACGGGGTCTGGGGGATGAGGCATGAGCCAGAAGGGCCAAGGGCTTAAGCCATCCCTGTTTGCTCCTGGAGCTGATGGAGCGCTCAGTCCCTGCCCTGGCTGCTGTCTTAGTTAAGGCCCAGGTGCGGTGGGGCCTAGTGAATAAAGCCCTGGAGTGGGGAGTCAGGATACCTGGGTTCTGCTATGGCTAATTCCCCCCAGCCCCACTCCGTGACTCAGTTTCTCCACCTGTAAAATGGATATAACGACACACTACTCTTTTCTAAGGCGCTTTGAGATTGTTTGACCCAAAGCCGGAGAGGCTTGTTATTAATCGCCCTCTTCCCCGGGACAGGTGGAAGGAGTACATCCCTGGCACCCGCGTGGTGTGCCGACATCGACAGTGCCATGACCGCTGAGGTCAACCTCCAATATTCGTTCCCCAAGGCCTCTGCTTTCTTCCGGCGTGGCTTGGCGGCGTAAGCGGCGGGGCGAGGGGCGTGGCTGAAAGTCCACTTCCGAGAGAAGTGGCCCAGCACCCCAGAGGGATTGAGGTGCCTAAATCCCATTGGAAGAAAGGGGATTTAGGCGCCCACGTATCCTTGAGGAGCCGACCTTTTGTGTCTGTCATTAGGAGATCCAGAAATAATTTGTTTAGCCGTAACTGTGCCCCACCCTCCAGCCTGACTCCTGTATCACTGAAGGGGGTCTATCTATCTATCTATCTATCTATCTATCTATCTATCTATCCCCATCCACCCCCCTCTATCTATCTATCTATCTATCTATCTATCTATCTATCCCACACACCCCATCCACCCCATCTATCTATCTATCCCCACACACCCCATTCACCCCATCTATCTATCTATCTATCCCCACACACCCCATCCACCCCGTCTATCTATCTATCTATCCCCACACACCCCATCCACCCCATCTATCTATCTATCTATCCCCACACACCCCATCAATCTATCTATCCCCACACACCCCATCCACCCCATCTATCTATCTATCTATCTATCTATCTATCTATCTATCTATCTATCTATCCCCACACACCCCATTCACCCCATCTATCTATCTATCTATCTATCCCCACACACCCCATCTATCACCCCACCCACCCCATCTATCTAATCTATCTATCTACCTATCTATCCCCATCCACCCCATCTATCTATCTATCTATCCCCACACACCCCATCCACCCCATCTATCTATCTATCTATCTATCTATCCCAACACACCCCATCTATCTATCCCCACACACCCCATCCACCCCATCTATCTATCTATCTATCTATCTATCTATGTATCCCCATCCACTCCCTCTATCTATCTATCCCACACACCCCATCCACCCCATCTATCTATCTATCCCCACACACCCCATTCACCTCATCTATCTATCTGTCTATCTATCTATCTATCCCCTCACACCCCATCTATCTATCTATCTATCTATCCCAACCACCCCATCCACCTCATCTATCTATCTGTCTATCTATCTATCTACCCCCTCACACCCCATCTATCTATCTATCTATCTATCCCCACACACCCCATCCACCCCATCTATCTATCTATCTATCTATCTATGTATCCCCATCCACTCCCTCTATCTATCTATCCCACACACCCCATCCACCCCATCTATCTATCTATCCCCACACACCCCATTCACCTCATCTATCTATCTATCTATCTATCCCCTCACACCCCATCTATCTATCTATCTATCTACTCCCCACCCACCCCATCTATCTATCTATCTATCCCCCACACCCCATCCACCCCGTCTATCTATCTATCTATCTATCTATCCCACACACCCCATTCACCCCATCTATCTATCTATCTATCTATCCCCCATCACCCCATCTATCTATCTATCTATCTATCCCACACACCCCATTCACCCCATCTATCTATCTATCTATCTATCCCCTCACACCCCATCTATCTATCTATCTATCTATCCCACACACCCCATCAATCTATCTATCTATCCCCACACACCCCATCCACCCCATCTATCTATCCATCTATCACCCACACACCCGATCACCCCATCTATCTATCTATCTATCTATCTATCCCCACACACCCCAATCTATCTATCCCCACACACCCCATCTATCTATCTATCTATCTATCCCCATCCAATCCCTCTATCTATCTATCTATCCCACACACCCCATCCACCCCATCTATCTATCTATCCCCACACACCCACTATTCACCTCATCTATCTATCTATCTGTCTATCTATCTATCTATCCCCACCAACCCCATCAATCTATCTATCTATCCTATCACCCCATCCACCCCATCTATCTATCTATCTATCTATCTATCTATCCCCACACACCCCATCAATCTATCTATCTATCCCCACACACCCCATCCACCCCGTCTATCTATCTATCTATCTATCTATCTACTCCCCACCCACCCCATCTATCTATCTATCTACTACCCACCCCATCCACCCCATCTATCTATCTATCTATCTATCTATCTATCTATCCCCACACACCCCATCTATCTATCCCCACACACCCCATCCACCCAGTATCTATCTATCTATCTATCTATCTATGTTCTGCAGGGATCAGTTCATTCGAGATTGTCCTCAGAGATCGGGGTAGTCAATATAAAATTCTTGCTGCTCCGAGGTGAGGTTGGGGCAACGACAGGCGGGGCAATAAGCCGCGGCGGAGATGGGACAGACCTACCGCCCCGGCTGGATCCCCGGGTCCGCTTGGCCCATGCCGAGAAACTGCCTCGTAAGGCAGGCGAATGCGTCTGGGAGCAGGGGAGGTGGGCAGCCCTGCCGAAGGGGGGACGGTGCCCCGGAAAGCCGAGAACTAGGGGTCACCCAACGTGAGGTCCTGGGGGTGCTCGGGCTAAGGGATGTGGAATCAGGGAGTCGGACCCGGGAGGGGTTTGCCCCGTCTGTGGCACTGGTGATTGGGTCCAGTGCTGGGGGCCAGGTTGGGAAAAGGGCTGGACCCATAGCTGGAGCGACAGATAGGTGGGGTGTGTGGGGCTGGAGAGACAGAGGGCTGTGTGTGGGGAGAGACAGAGGTTGGAGGCACAGACAGACATTGAGTCCATGAGGGGATGGCTAGACAGAGGGGTGTGTACGGGGCCAGGCAGAAAGAGGGTGCACATGGGGACAGACAGAGGGCCCGTGTGGGACAGAAGGGCAAGTATGGGGAGAGACAGACTGGTGTATGGTGTATGGGATCAGACAGACAGAGGGTGTACACTGGATCAGAGACAGAGAGAATGGGGTGTATGGAGATGGAAAGGGGGGGTCACATGGGGGCAGACAGAGAGGTGTTTATGGATGGGCAGAGGGTGCACTTGGGAACAGCCAGGCAGAGAGGTGTGAAGGGGAGGACAGACAGAGGCTGTGGATGGGGTGAGAGGGGTGTGGAGGGGAACAGACACAGGTTGTGTATGGGGTAAGAGGGAGTGAGGGGGGACAGACAGAGGGTGTGTATGGGGTCAGAGGGGTGTGAAGGGGTGGTGAGAGGGGTGTGAGGGAGGACAGACAGAGGGTGTGTATGGGGTGAGAGGGGTGTGAAGGGGTGGACAGACAGAGGGTGTGATGGGATGGGGTGGAGCAGAGGGTGTGGATGGGGGGGGGGGTGGACAGACAGAGGGTGTGGATGGGGTGAGAGGGGTGTGAAGGGGTGGACAGACAGAGGGTGTGGATGGGGTAAGGGAGTGTGAGGGAGGACAGACAGAGGGTGTGGATGGGGTGAGAGGGGTGTGAGGGAGGACAGACAGAGGGTGTGGATGGGGTAAGGGCGTGTGAGGGGGACAGACAGAGGGTGTGGATGGGGAAAAATTAAAGGTTTTGCACTTGAAATGCAAAAAAAAAGTTCATGGCATTTTTATGACATTTTCCTTCATAATCGTGATTTTCCTTCCTTTGTTGCCTTTTGCTTCTTTTCCCTGACATTCCCCGACTTCGTCCTTTCCCTGTTTTCCCGGCTCCTCTCCCCACCCCACTTTTTCCTGGTTTTCCCATTTTGTTCTTGGGTTTTCCCTTTTCCTTGGTTTTATCCTCTTTTCCCTTTTTCCCCCCTTTTTTCTTTTTTTCCGTTTTTTCTCTTGGTTTCTCTGTTATTTCTTGTTTTTTTCTTTTAATTTTTTCTTGGTTTTTTTTCTTTTCCCTTGTTTGTTTCTTTCTCTTTTCACTTTTTAATTTTTTTTTCCATTTTTGCCCCTAGGGTTTTCCCTTTTTCTTTGTTTACCCTCCCACCATTTTCCCTGTTTTTTAGTTTCTTTCTCTCTTCACTTCTTTTTCTTAATTTGTGTTTTTTCTTGGTTTTTCCCTTTTTCTTGTTGTTCCCCCCCTTTTCCCTTTTTTCTTATTTTTTCACTTCTTTTTCTTGCTTTTTCTTTCTGTTTTTCATTGTTTCCCCCCATTGTTCATCTTTCTTAGTTTTTCCTGCTTTCCTCCCTTTTTTACTTCTTCTCCTTCTTCCTTTTGTCCCCCGTGTCCCCATTTCCTTTTATTTTCCTGGTCACTTTCATTAGTGAACATATTTTGGGAGGGAAAATCAATTGTCACCAAAGGATTTCGTAAGTTTGATTCCCAGCGCGGCCCCAGACCCTGGGGAATTAACTCAATTCCAGTGTCCTCCCCCCTCCCCTGGGGCCTGCTGCTCCGTGGCAGTAACTCCCAGTGGGCCCGGGCCGGGTCTGTATTCCACAGGCCATAGCGACCGGGCGTCCAGGCCTCGCCGAGCTTCTCCGCAAGGGCCTGGAGACCCTGACCTACACCAAGCTCTGCCTTCCCGATGACATCCAGGTGCGTGGTGTCGGCTCAGTCCAGAGCTACTACTACAGGGACAATGGGCTCAAGATCTGGGCGGCTATAGAGAGGTGAGGGGTGCTGGGGGGTGTGGGGGGTGGGGAGGAGAGATGAAGACAAATGTAGGGGAAGGGGTTAGACCTAGTGAAATCAGAGGGGGCAAAGTGTTGGGGCTCTGAGTGTGGAGGGGATCAGGGGCAGGGCCCCGTGGGAGTCCAGGTCTTGTATGGGAGGGAGCCCTGCATACTGGGCTTGTTCTGCTGGGATCCAGCGAACGTCCTTTACCACACAAAGTTGGGCCCGTTGATAACTGAAATCAGATTTCAATCCGGTTTAGTGACAATGTGGAAGCTCTTAATTCACTTTCACTGAAACCACTTCAACGCGATCCCAATCGAAGAACAGCCAAAATGAGACCGTCAGCCCCAGGATCTGCTGCCGGTTCATAGAACCACAGAAGATCAGGGTTGGAAGAGACCTCAGGAGGTTCATTGGTCGTCTAGTCCAATGAACTTGCTTTAAATTCACATCTGTGGTTAACCCAGCCCAAATCTCCATTTAGAGGGTAACATTTTCCGAAGTGCACACAAAGGGCTAAGGGTTTTTTTGGGGTGGGTTGGCAATTTTGAAAAGTATAAATAAATAACTTAATTTTATATAGTTTTAGGTTGGCCCCAAACTAGCAATTTTCAAAATGTTCAGCCCCTCGAAAAATCACACCCCCAAAATAAAATTCCTTTCAGGTCAAATGAAACATTTTGTTTTGTGTTAATTGACTTGGTTTGTTTCCATTTGGAGCATTTCGATACATTTTTGAATTAAAAAAAAAATTCCAGGACATTTTGAACAAATGTTAGAACAAAAAATTAAATTTTGGGGGGGCGGTTTCCAGATTTTCGGATGGTTTGTTTTTTCAGCACAAGAGCTGGCAACACTGGAGTCATTTGCAAACTCTTTCAGGGTCACCGCGACTCCATTTTGTACCCCCAAAAAAGTTTTAGCTCAAACCGGGAGCGCTGGAAACTCCCTGGAAGTAGGGGGGCCATCAGTGCTTGCACCTTGGCCCCGCCCCCACTCCATCCCTCCCCGCAAGGCTCCGCCCTCATTCTGCCTCTTCCCCGAGGCCCTGTCCCTGCTTGCTTCCCCCCCCCCCCCACGTCGCTTCCCATTAAAGCGGGTAAAAAGTGATGGGGCCTTGGCCCCTTAGCTTTCCCTTTTCCTGCCACCATGGTGCAAACATTTCGTCCCTCTCGATTTAGGAACCTAAATGCCGACGTCCACGGAATTTAGACACCGAACCAGCTTGGGCATTTTGTAAATTATTCTGGGCGCCCAGCTGCCATTGTAAATTTAACCCACCATGTGCCTAAGTCCCTTTGGAGAATGGCAGACAGGCTCCTAAATCACTTAGAGGCTTGGAAACATTTGACCCCAAACCATAAAACCAACTCTCCTGGGTGGCACGGGGGATGGAGGGGAAAATGGACCACCTAAGAAGTGAAGTTGAAGGGGAGCAGGAATAGCTCTGTGGAGACTGGAGGGGGGGGGCTCCCCTGGCTTGTCCTAGGGGAGAGCCTCTCACCATGGATCCCGGCGTCCGGGCTGACCCGATTCCCCTTTAACTCTCCCAGCTTTGTCTCCGGCATCGTGGGGATCTACTACCGGACCAGCCTCTCGGTGCAGAGTGACCACGAGCTGCAGGCGTGGGTGGGTGAGATATTCACCAAGGGATTCCTCGGCCGACAGGCATCGGGTGAGAGGGCAGGGGCAGCTAGCGGGCAGCGATCTCTGGGCCTGGGGTCACAGGCGCCGCTGAGGGGTCCTCCCTCCCACCCCCAAGAACCAGCCCCCGTTAAGGTGTCTCCAAACCCCAAGGCGCTTGTAAAAACATCAGCCACGGCCTAGGCATGACGCCTGCCGTGCGACAGCCGTGGGTCGCCCGCACGCCTCCACGTGGCTTTTAGCTCACGCGGTAGAGGCTCATGCACTAAGCTCCGGAGGCCCCCGGTTCGATCCCGCCCGCCGAGTCTGTCGGTGTTACACGTGCACTCGCAGTTGTGAGGCTGGTATTGCCCTGGCCTAGCATCACCCCTGGCAGGGGGAGCGGAGACGGGAGGCTCCCAGCCAGGGGCAGGGGAGGGGGCCCCAGTCCCATGCTCACCAGTCCATCCCTCCCCGGCAGGTGTCCCCTCTACTCTGGGCACCGCGGCCGAGCTGACCAAGTACCTGACCATGGTGATCTTCACCTGCTCCGCCTATCACGCTGCGGTCAACTCTGGGCAGGTGGGTGAGGGCCGCCCGCCCTGTCCCCCTCTTGGAGGGGGTGTCTCTTTCCTTCTCCTCCTTTCCTTTCCTTACACCAGTGTCCCTGCCCTTGGGCCCCAGTCTGTCCCCTCCTGCCCTTTGGACCCCATTGGGTACGCCCCATACTTTGGGGTCTGAGACTTGGTGGCTCATGCCCAGGAGTTACTGTGGCTTAAAGTCCATTCTAGCCCAGGTGGAGTTGCTGGGAGCCAGGACTCCTGGGTTCTATTCCCGGCTTTGTCAAGCATCTTGCACATGTTCCATCCCCTCCCTCCCTCTGACAATTTTTTTTAAAGAAAATTTTCATTTCCTTTGTAATTTTTCCATTTTTTCAACAAAATGAATCAAAATGAAAAGCCGTGGGAGAGATCGGGGCCCACTCATGCCGGATACTGCACAGACCCCATCTCAGATCAGGGTCCCCCCTTGTGCACATTGCACAGAACCCCCCACACACTGAGATCAGGTCCTGTGTTGTGCCAGGCACTGCACAGACCCCCCCCCCCGACAGAGATCAGGTCCCCCATTGTGCCAGGCACTGCACGGTGACATAGTGAGAGATGGTCCCTGACTCAAAGAGCTCACCCTCTAAATAGACAAAACAGACAATGGGAAGAATGGTCACCTCCCTTGTACAGATGGGGAAATTGAGGCATGGAGTGCCTTGGTGCCTGGCCTGGTGGCACAGAGGGAGATCATGGAGTCGCTGGGACTGGACTGCAGGTCAGAGTCCCAGCCACGGCTCTGAACTGCCTCTGCAGCTTACTGAATGGGGCCTGGGTCAGGCTGGGTGTTGGGCAGGGTCCCAGGACCCCCTGGGCAGCTGGTCCTGCGGCTCCTGTTCTGGACTCCTGGATTCTCTCATGACCTTGCCAGCCAAGCTCCCAGGTGGGATCTAACCTCTGGCTTCCCTTTCCTGGCCCCAGTTCGAGCTGGCAGTCTTCATGCCCAATTACCCATCATCCATGCGGAAGCCGCCGCCCCAGAACAAGGCCAAGGTGACCCTGAAGGAGTTCCTGGACACCATCCCCGAGATGAACACCACCAGCCTGATCCTCTCTGTCCTCTGGGTGCTGCGTAATGAGGATCGGGACATGGTGAGAGCAGGGCTGCTGGGGCTGGTGGACAAGGGGGGTACCCTGGATCAGGGGGGGTCTTTCGGGAGGGGAACCCCCCCTCTGAATCCTTCAGTATTGGATTAGGGGTGTGTGTCCTTCACTGCCTCTGAAACACCCACAGAGGGGCCAGACCTCACCTGGTGTCAAAGGGCATCTCTCCACTGGAGTCAGTGGGGCCAGATCCCGGCCGGTGTCAATGGGCGTCTCTCTATTGGAGTCAATGGGGCCAGCTCCCGGCTGGTGTCAATGGGCGTCTCTCCATTGGAGTCAATGGGGCCAGCTCCCGGCTGGTGTCAATGGGCGTCTCTCTATTGGAGTCAAAGGGGCCAGCTCCCGGCTGGTGTCAATGGGCGTCTCTCCATTGGAGTCAATGGGGCCAGCTCCCAGCTGGTGTCAATGGGCGTCTGTCTATTGGAGTCAATGGGGCCAGCTCCCGGCTGGTGTCAATGGGCGTCTCTCCATTGGAGTCAAAGGGGCCAGCTCTCGGCTGGTATCAATGGGCGTCTCTCCACTGGCGTCAATGGGGCCAGCTCCCGGCTGGTGTCAATGGGCATCTCTCCATTGGAGTCAATGGACCAGATCCTGGCTGGTGTCAACGGGCGTCTCTCTATTGGAGTCAATGGGGCCAGATCCTCAGCTGGTGTCAATCAGCAGGAGGTCCATTGGACCTGCTGCTGATTTGAGGACATGGATCCAGCATTTCAGCCCCTTTTCTGTTACCCTCTCGGGACATGGTGGGGGTGGACAGCCGCTGTGCCGACAGGGAGGAAATGTCCCCAAAGTGACATGTATATGATCATTGTTTAGAGGCCTGGGGCCTGTCAGAAGAGGTGGGGAGAGGTCTTTCCCTATGGAGACAGGTTTGACCACTGTTCAGACATAAAGTACTCTCCAGTTCTCTCCATAGACCCAGCTCTCCCTGAGCATTGTTAAACATTTCTGACCCAAGCCGTTTAACCAAAATTTTGGACCCTGCAGTTAGAATTGTAGAAGTGTAAGACTGGAAGGGACCTGGAACAGTCACCTAGTCCAGTCCCCTGCACTCAAGGCAAGTGTAAGTATTATCTATGCTGTAGTTGGGGTTGGTCCTGCTTTTAAGCAGGGGGTTGGAGTAGATACCTCCTGAGGTCTCTTCCAACCCTGACCTTCTATGGTTCTATGATCTAGACCATCCTTGCCAGGTGTCTGATCAACCTGCTCTTAAAAATCTCCAATGACAGAGGTGGGTGAATCTGTGACTTTTTTGGTTTGTTAGACAAGGTGGGAGAGGGAATATCTCTTCTTGGACCAACTTCTGTCGGTGAGAGAGACAAACTTTCGAGCTCTTTCACCAAGGAAAGTTGGTCCAATAAAAGATATTCCCTCCGGCATCTTGTCTCTCTGATATCCTGGGACCAACATGGCTACAATAGCGCTGCCATTGTCGGTGATTTCGAGAAGTTGAAAATGAATTGTTTTGGGGTCAAGCCCAACCTGTTGTTCAACCCGAAAGCAACATTTCCTTTTGATTGTGAGCATTTTTGTGCGTGGACGTTTCAGAACGTTCGACACAAAAAGCCATTTGGAACTGAAAATGGGTTGCAAACTCGACATGGGTCACATTTTTTTTTAGTATTATTTTTAAATTAACTCTTTGGCAAAAGGGATAATTCAGAAAATATTCTGATGTCCCCAAACATCCATTTTTTCTCAAAAAGAAGAGAAAAGTTTGGGTGGAAAATGATTACTCAGGGGCTGGTGTGGATTGTTTCCATCGCGAGGAGACATTGGTGATGGACCCAGGTGTTTCTTTGCTGGAATTGTATTTATTTGCAAAGTCTGGAGGACTCAAAGAACAGGAGGAAATTTCCTTGCTCACAGTTCCAAGCCTCGTTCCAACTAGCACTCAGCCCAAAACTTTTCTCTCTCTCTCGTCTTTGTCCGGAGCCACACCCCCAAAGCTTGTTCCGGCTGTCTCCTTGGCTCTGTGCTGCTTCAGTGTCTGTTTCTCTCGTGTGCAAAGCTCCACCAGTCAGTGCCCCAGCCCTTGCCTTTGCTATCTCAATCCCCCGAGAAAACCTCTCTTCTCTACTCCAGCCTTGGAGTAATAAGAATGCAGCCCTAGAGTTGATCCTGGAGGGGGTCAGTGATTTTGATGTCTCTGTATTCACCACTCTCCCTGTTCCCTTCCAGAGACCCCTGGGGACATACCCTGAGGAGCACTTTACCGAACACGGGCCAAAGCAGCTCATGGCTGCCTTCCAGGATCGCCTAGCAGAGATCTCCCGGGAAATTGAGGAGAGGAACCAGTCACTAGCTCTGAGCTACAACTACATGTATCCCCCTAACATAGAGAACAGCACAGCCATATAACACCCAGAGGCGCCACCCCTCCAGCTGCCCCATGATGGAGAACCCCTCACCCAGACACCCACCACTGAATACCCCCCGCAGGAACAGGCCACAGCATCTCCACAGCCAAATGCTCGCCGGCATCCGGAGCCGGGGTGTGCGCACGGGATGTGCCCAGGGACGCCCTGAGCCCCGGCTGCAAAGGCTGCTTCTCCCCCTCCCCGGCTGGAGGCTGGGGGGGAGGCTGCAGCAGTTGCAGGCCGTGATGGGAGCCACGTTTACATTGCTGCTGCCCTGCTGGTCCCAGCAGCGCGGGGTGAGTGCAGTCAGCCCAGCCTCTCCACCCCCGCGCCTGCCCCAGCCCCCTCTTGCTGCCCCCACACACCTCCCCAGGCCCTGCTGCCTCCCTGCAGCAACCGCTGCCCCACGGTCCTCGTGCCCCCGCCTCGCCAGCCCGGGCCGACGGAGCCCCTGCCACCTCAGACCCTTCCCTTTTCCAGCGGGACCCTCCACCAGCACGGGGGCCCCCACCCGCAGTCACCGCTCCTGCTCCGTGCTGGGCAAGGGGCAGCCCCATCCCCCACCCCACCCACAGGCAGGGCAACAGCAGGGGAGGAGACGCAGGCAGCTCCCCCGGCACCCACCACGGGGGAGGCGAGGGAGATTCCTGGACCTGAGAGGGGCCCTAGGAGCACATGCAGTGACAGTGGGGGGAGTGAGTGCACTGCTGGGGGGTGGGAAAGGGAGGCTCCTCCCCCAGAGCTCGCTGCTGCTGGCAGGGAAAGGGCTGAGGGGGGGGGGGAGTCCTCCTCTCTGGCCCCTGTCCCGCAGCAGCCTGCCTGCACCCCAAACTCATCCCTAGCCCTGCCCCACCCCAGAGCCCGCACCCCCAGCCAGAGCTTTCACCCCCCACCGCACCCTCAATCCTCATCCCTAGCCCTAAGCCTCTCCAACACCACAAACCCCTCATCTCCAGCCCCAGCCAGAGCCCTCACCCCCCCACACCCTAAACCTCTGCCCCAGCCCTGAGCCTCTCTAACACCCCAAACCCCTCATCTCCAGCCCCAGACAGAGCCCTCATCCCCCCTCACCCCAACCCTCTGCCCCTGCCCTGAGCCCCCTCCAACACCACAAACCCCTCATTCCCAGCCCCAGACAGAGCCCTCACCCCCTACTCTCACCCTTCCCACACTCAAACCCCTCATCTGCAACCACACCCCACAGTCCTCACCCCCTCACCTCTGCACCCCCTCCCATCCCCAAACTCCCTCCCAGAGCCTGCACCCCAATCCCCTGCCCCAGCCTAGGACCTGCACTCCAGATCTCCCCCACCCAAACTCCCTCCCAGAGCCTTGGGCAGGTGGGGGGTAGAGTTTGTTGAGGCAGTGTTTGGGCGGGGGGCAGATTCTGGGCACCACCAAAATTTCTACAAATCTGCCACCCCTGGTGACAGGGTTCCCCTGCCTGCCCACCCTCCCGCCAATGCAGGATATATTTGTTGCCTGTGCAAACTTCCCCAGCAGCTGCACAAAGTTGTTGTAATTGTGTCACACAGTGAACCCCACGCTGCTACCATGATCCCGCTTGGCCCCCCCTGCCCAGCCGGGCCCGCCCAGCCAATCGCTGCCTCCCCAGCACTAAATGTGACCTTTGTTGACTTACATCAGTCATAGTGCTTTTCCTCGGCTGCGCTCCAGCTCGGTTGGTCTCTTTGTGCCTGTCCCGTAAGTGCCATCATGTCACTGGTCAAGGGGATGTCCAGGGGGTGTGTCATAACCATACAGCTAATGGTAGTCTCGAATTCCTTCTTACCTGTAAAGGGTTAAGAAGCTCAAATAACATGGTTGGCACCTGACCAAAGGGACCAATGGGGAAAGAAGATACTTTCAAATCTTGGGCTGGGCAGGGTGGCAGGGAGGCTTTGTTTGGTGTGGTCTCTGGGGAAAGCAGAGAAGCATCAGGTCAAAAAAACTCCTTCTCCAATAAACCATCCTGTACGTGTCTCTGATATTACAAAAAGAGTAAGTAAATACAGCAAGGTGTGTTAGATTATCTTTTGTTTTCAACTTGTGAATTTTCCCTTTGCTAGAGGGAGGTTTATCCCATTTTTTTGTAACTTTAAAATTTTGCCTAGAGGGGAATCCTCTGTGTTTTGAATCTCATTACCCTGTAAAGTATTTACCACCCTGATTTTATAGAGGGGATTCTTTTACCTTTTCTTTAAATAAAATCCTTCTTCTCAGAACCTAACTGATTTTTCCATTGTTCCAAGACCCAGGGGTTTGGGTCTTTGGTCATTTTGTAACCAATTGGTTAGGATATTAATCTCAAGCCTCCCAGGAAAGGGGGTGTAAGGGCTTGTGGGGGTTGAGGAACTCCAAGTGGTCCTTTTCCCTGGTTCTTTGTTAAAATCACTTGGTAGTGGCAGCGTTACTTAACCCAAGGTACAAGGGAGAATTTGTACTTGGGGAGTTTTTAACCTAAACTGGTAGAATAAGCTTAGGGGGTCTTTCATCGGGTCCCCACATCTGTACCCAAGAATTCAGAGTGGGGAGGGAACCCTGACAGGGAGGAATTTGGTGGGGACTCTGTTCTGAGCGGTGGGGCCGGGCTGGGGGGGTTTGGATACGGGCCAAAGGGTCTCTGGGGCAGTCAGGGGATGGGGAACGGAGGAATTGGACAGGGCGTGGGAGTCCCAGAGGGCCTGTCAGGGGGAAGGGGAGTGGCTAGGGGGCAGGGCAGTCGGGACAGGGAGCTGGATACTTGGTGGAGTCCTGAGGGGTGATTAGGGAGGGGGGTCTCTGGAGGGGGCAGTCAGGGGACAAGGAGCAGGGGCAGTTGGGGGTTCTGAGGGGGGCAGTCAGGGGGCAGGAAGTGGGAGGGAGTGGATGGGGGTGGGGCTAGGGTGGGGCACCCTGGGTGCACACCCTAATGGAATGTGCTGCGCACACCTATGATCCTGAGAACATACACCCAACCTGATGGAGCAATGGTGAATCACACCTGCTGGGGATCCAGCCCCACTGACTTCGATAGAGAGACTCCCATTGACACCAGCTGGGGATCTGCCCAGGGCCTCCATAAACCCCCAGTTTCATAGCAGTCTCAAAGGACTCCCTTACCTCCGGGTTTCACACCAGTGAAGGAGCGGGTGTTGAATTGCCTGTTGTACTCAAGGCAAATCCCGTGGACAGGTGTTGTCATTTCTGAGTAACAAGGTGCCAAGTCTCCTTATCAGGAAATCATTTCCCGTACACACCTCCTTATCATTTCCTTCCATTCCCCACCCCCTTGCCTGGGATGGTGTCTTGGTTCAGCTGCTCATCCCTCTATCAGGTGATGTGGCCACACTGAACCATGGTCTCCGTCCCCTTGTGAATTGGTTTATTCTGCACGGAGACACATTGCTGGGTGAAGTTGGCCTGCACTTCCGTCATTGCATCCAATATTTGCAAAAGTTGTTTGAGAATATGGGGGTCCAGGTTAAGGGTCCTGAAGAGTTGATTGAAGATACCTTAAGAAAGTTGATTTTCCCAAAGGGACATGTTCTGCTCAAAACCATGGCCTCTTTAAGGCGCATCAGAAACAGAGGCACCCGTAGTTTTCCACGTCTTAGATTCATAGATCCCAAGGCCAGCAGGGACTATTGTGATCATCTACTCTGACCTCCTGTATGACACAGGACAGAAAACTTCCCCCAAACAATTCCCGTTTCAACTTGGGCATCCTGGTCTCATTTCTTTGCTCCTCATTGAGCTTGAGAACGTCTTGGGGATGAGTCTGTCCTGTTCGTCAGCTGTCTGAGCAGTGCCCCATGGTGGCTCATTGTCTTGGTTGGCGACTTGAGGTGCAACTGGTGTACAATTCATGAGCAGAGCAGGTTGGTCTTGGTAGACACCGACTAAACATGAGACCGCAGTGTGATGCTGTAGCTAAGAGGGTGAACGTGATCCTGTGATGAATAAGCAGGGGAAACTGACAAACCGGAAAGGGCTTGTGTGAGGAGTGGGCATTTTCTGTGGTAGTTTATCTGAATGCCGTCTGTGTGTCAGTTCCCCCAATGTGCTACATAGTTAACTTGGTGGTGGGAAAAGGTTGTTGACTCTCTGCAGAGTAAACCCTGTAGGGTGTGATGGATACCTGCCTACCTCCATGTCCATGGAGAGAGTCTGAGGAGACAATAGCCACTACAATTGCCTGGTACCTAGCAACAAACGACTATGGATGATCCACCGCTCCACAGGAAGCCAGATGGGTTTGCCAGGGAACAAGAGCAAAGGGCTGAGAAGTGGCCAGGTGAGGAGTTGTTAAGTGTGGGCTGCTGGAAGTTGGAGACTCTCCTGAACTGGGACACAAAAGAGGGCTCTGGACCAACCAAAATGGACCAGGCTGAAACTTGCTGCTGGCTTCTCATGACCCACGTGAGCTGGGTTCCAGACATCTAATAAACAGGACTGCTTTCACAACACTGCCCGAGAGTTGCTTCCCATGCTGGAGCTGGCAGGGTGCACTGCTCCCTTTGGGGGTAAAAGGTCTCTCTCAGGTTCTCCAACTTGGGTGGACTCACTGAAGGGAGCTTGTAACCCCCCTGATTTGACATTCCTGCTGGTAACCCCAGAACCTGGCAGGACTACAGTCAGCCATCTTGTGTGTCCAGCCACTGTTGGCTGAAAACCAAGTGCCACAAAGCTAAGAGATAACGAGTCATTTGCTGAAATTAGGAGAATTGGTGATCCACCAGGTTTACTATGACAACCCACTAGGAATCCTTATGAGGTCTGTGCTTCGTTTAAGTTAGCTCTAAAAGACTAGGCGAAAGAACAGACTTTGGAGCAGTCCGAGGAAGCTTTTCTTTGGACAAGGATTGGGCATCTAAACGCCCCAGCAACTGGACAGAAGGAGGGTCCCCAGAAAGCTGGTTGCTGATTCCTCGAAACCATTTAAGACTTCAGGTAAATAGAAATGTTGGGAATGCTCTCACCTTACTGCTACAGAGAGAGAGAGAGAGAGAGAGAGAGAGAGAGAGCGCCCTTGAGACCTAATAAAAAGTAGTTTTAGGTAAAAGCACTCTGTGACATTCCCCTTTGGTGTTATCCGGACCGGTGATCTGCTAGGCCACTCAAATCCTCAACTCTGGGAGCCGGCCTTACCCTGCTCTGCTGTGAGAACCCCCACTCCTGGGCTGTTCACGCACGACCTCTGACATGTAAACGGCTTCTTGGATTGTGCAACCGAATGACACTACCAACCCTAGGAACCTCCATCTTGCAGAGCCCCGTTATGCCCGCTGGATGCTGCAAGCTTATATGAGTT